GATAAATTTACTTTGCAGGAGTGTATTAAAAAACTTTCCAAAATTTCATGGCAATCGTACTATACCAGAAACCTTCGCGGGAGTATATTAAACAACTTCCCAAAGTTTCACGGCAATCGGATAAATTGTGTGGTAATGCATGAAGGACAGACAGACACACACACACACATTCATTTTTATATATATAGATTAATCATAATCACTTAAATCTAAAAATTTAATTTAATTTTTATTGTTTAAACTTTTTTCATCATGTGTGCATTAAGAGGACTTTTTCATGTCTGTCATGGAATGGTCAAGCCCACAGTGAGGCCATTTGGATAATGACGAAAAGGGCCTATATTTCTGAGTCAATCCATCTATGAAAATTTCATTTCCATCCAAAACTGTGATACTTAGTTTCCACTTGATGAGTTCTCGACTGAGATGGTGTATTTTTACCCATCAGAATGCTTAATACTTGATGTAGTGAACCAAGGGGCAAAACAGCAAGTGAGTAAATAGATTTACTGGAATGTGGAGCTTTTCATCTCTTCCACTATCTTGGCCAAGTTGTAATTAGTCAGGTATAAACTAGGCATAACTTTTGTCTTACAGCTGCATTCACCAACTTGACCTTTATCTAACAGTTCTGTACAGTTCTAGCTGGTCATCTGTGACTTCAGCTTTTGAAACAGTTGATATTTATTATCTCAATGAAATGATGTGTCAGTCGGTTTTCATTTGATAAAACAATTTTAGTTGTATTGTTTTGTGTATTCTTGTTTTTTGGTTTTGTTATCTTAACAGAAACATTTTGTGGAATCATTTAGAATCTTCATCAAAGAAACTAATAGATTATGTTATCCATAATCTATTAGTTTCTGCTAACATTTAAACAAAGCATTCATTGAGAAACAATATAAAAGTGGTAGTGGTGATGTAAAATATCAAAAAGCAACCAATATTTGGTTAGTTATATGAAAACATATAACTGATTGTAAAACAGCACATTGTTGACTGTGGCTGTTGTGTTGTTTTGTTTGATGGGATTGAAGTAGGATTTGTTACTGAAAACAAAATGTTTAATATTAATGATGATATAATTCTTTAATATCAATATAGCTGATATATCACTAGCATAATATCATTATTCTGTGGAGGTAAAATAAATGAAATGACTGACAAAGTTTTGAACAAACTTTCATTGCCTTTTAATTAACAGTTTTTCTTTGACTGTGTTATTCTAAGCTTGGTACTACAATATACTGTATATTTACTGATAATTTTGTATATACAAACTTAATGATAAATGAAATTAATTTTTACTTGTTAAAAGTTAACTTCATTTGTCTTAATTCAATGTTTTATTTTTAGCACTTTATTTTCTATTTTTGTCTATAAGACCTTTTTTATTATATTAATCAGTTTAAATATTTTTTTTAGATTTTTAAATCAAACCTTTAACAAATGATCTTATTTGTAAAAGTAGAGCACAGTCTGTAATTTAATGTTTTAAATATGCATACATGATCATATATAAAACAGATACAAGACTTAAAGACACTTGATGACACTTTATTGGATCTTACTGTACAACATGGACTTGGGATGCATTTTGAGAAATTTTATTCCCTCCTCAGTCAACCATACATACTATCCTTCAAGTTCTATAAATCATAGACAGCCCCTACAGAATATCTCAAAATAAAGAATAACAACATATAAATGGCTTCCTAGGTTATTCTTTTTACAAATGTTAATTTTTAAGCTCTGAAAATTTCTTATTTTTATGTAGCTGGAGACAAAGTTGTTTTTATCCCTCAAGCTATGAGGAAAATTTGTATTGCAAAACCAGTCAAATAAGTTTTCCTCAACTGATTTCATTTCAAATGGATTAAGCTGATTTTGGACAATTTCCACATTTAAAAAATTAAAAAGAATAGTCAAAGGGGCTATATACAGAATGGCAATAGATATTGCTTCATCCTGTATGTGTTGTTTTACTTTAGTCCCAAAACATTCCTATTTATTTTAATCATGAAAAATTTCATTTATATATCTAGATTCATTATAGAGTTTCATTTATACATTGTTTCTGTTTCCATAAAGATAATAGATATTTACAGTACAGTGGGTGATCAGTTAATGAACAAATCGGATAACGAACACTTTCGCAAAAGATTTTTATGATCGGACAATGAACACTTCACTGAACAAACATAAAAAGAAGCAATGAAAATAGCAAATACCAATTGATTTTCCCTTGTCTTCAGGCAACAATCTGAAACTTTTTGGAGCGCTGGAGATGTCAACATCGACCCTCAACCCAGAATATACTGATCAGATAGTATTCCTCTGAACTTTGAAACTCTCCCTTGTACTTCCAGTCTTTTATTTTTCTGACAGAAACAATTCTTTTATAGTATTCACGAGACTGTTGGGCGGGCACTCGTTAAGTTTTGCGTCGAGTTTTATTTTCAAAAGGTAAAATAGCAAAGGTAGAGAGTGGGCAGATGTCTGATGTTTCTGGGCAGTATGGCTTGAACAAATCTACAGTAGGGCACAGTTCAATCTTATCTAAGAAAGATACAGTATAATGGTTTTTGTTAGGTACAGTGGTTTTTGTTACTCCTTTGGCTGCTTGAGTCTTCAAGCAGCTAAAGGAGTAAGAAAAACCACTTCTGAGAATTAAAGAACATTGAAGAGCTCATAATGGAACCTGAAACGGATCTGATGACAGAAGAACACCAAGAACTCTTGAATGAAGAACACCAAGAAACTCAGTGAGATATGTTTTATTATGAAAAAAGGATTAATGCCGATATCTGCTATTAAAGATCTTTTGAAGAAGTAGGGGATGTCAGATCAACGCTCTTAGAATGGCATACAAACCAGGTTGAGGTTAATAGGCTTGGGGATCTCTACAATTACAATGCTATTAATTACTTATGAAAATCCTGAAGAAGAGAGAAAAGCAATCAACATTAGACAGATTCTTTAACCCCCACAAACAAAAAAACATAACTAATAAAAATGCAAGACTATATATGTATTTTTATTATTACATATAAATGAACTTAGTAAGAAAGTTTATATTTTTTATTTTTTGGGGTCTCCAGAATGAATTAATCAAATTCCCATACAAACCTATGGTAAATTGATAATCGGTTAACGAACAATTCAGATAGCAAATAAAGTCTTGGAATAGATTATGTTCGTTAATCAATCACCGACTGTATTCTTTTAGAAAACATACACTCAGAATTTCATGGACACATTCCTTACTCTATTTTTGTACTTTTTCTTTATATTTCCTGCCTTAGATGACAAAATTAACTTACCATGTGTATTGTCTTTCAGAGTTAGAGGTTTAGGTATGATCCATGAATTATGTAATGCTATTTTATCCTTTTCAACTGTCATATTCCACGTCCTGCAATGCTTTATAACACTGATGCATTGCTGTTGATGCTCCCCAATTGTGGAATGATGTGTTGAGATTTGTGTATTAGAGATGGAGCAAACAATGTACCCAATCTAGTAACTTCCAGTATTTAAAGAGGAGGATTGACGTTATTCCAACAGATAAGCCCCAAACATGTACTCACCCCAAAAATTATGTAACACATATCCTTGATCAATCCCCTTAATTGTATTCAGGAAAAATACACAGCATGGTATACGGAATGTTACATTATTTTATTAATTACATGTATAGCATACAAAGCAGTGACATAAATGATATTTGCTATGCAACACTTCAGAAACAAAAATGAATAATTCTGTTACCCAAGCATTAATAAGAGTATCTATGAATGATATTTCTCAAAAAAAAATTACCACTCACATGAAGTGAGACAATGAAAGTTATAACAAATTCTGAAAAGTTGCTGCAGTTTGGTTGTTAATAAACTACCAATAGCTTAATTGCTGCATATTTAACAAACAATACCATTGATTTAAAGACCCTATCATTAAATAGTGTTTTTGTAAATGCCCTCACCTCCTTGTAACAATTACCTGTATATCTACCCACCCACATTGCATTATGTAATTTATAGACAGTTCCTTACCATATTTTTGTGCAGATTACTTGTAGGTTATTTGTGTTTGAAAAAAGATCGGTTATATGTCAATTTTAAATTGCCTTTACTAACTCATCAAACATCTTTTCTTTCATCTAAAGTCACTAACAAGGAGAGGGTCAGATGTTGGGTCTCTGATTCAAATGAAACTTGGTGAGTATGTAGCTCTTAAACACAAACAGCTCTTTGGCCAAATAGTAGGACCCACTTCTCAAGTTATTCCAAAAAATGGGTGTCTGAAAATTGAGTGTTTAGCTTCTGTATTTGAAAGTTTCACATCTACTTGGAATGGCAATAGCTGAGAGGATAAGACGATAGCACTGAAGCTACAGGATGTACCTTCTTAATTTTAAACTTAACATCATTTCCTGTTTAGCAAAAAAGAAGTCTCTGTAGATTTAACTCTTTTATGTCATTAAATAAAATTTTCATTTTTTCATATTTATTTTCACGTTTCATGATTACATACTGTCACCGCAAACAAATAAGTTTCAGACATTACTGCATATGGACAAAAAAGTCAAGCGTGATATGAAAATAGGGTAGCATAGTTGCAGCACTTTTTTTAATTGTTAAATTATGGACTATTTCTTTATGTGCTTGTGCTTGTTACACTTCAAATAAAACAATACCACAAGATTGAAAATAAATATGAAGTAAAAAAATTTTATTTAACAACATAAAAGTGTTAAATCTACAGAGCAAAGTCTATAGATTTTTGCTAAACAGGAAATGACATTTTAAATAAATAGTAAATATAAAACATGGCCGATGGTATTACATTTAATTGTATAAATAAATATAAAATTTCAACGTTTAACAAAAGTAAAATACTTTGCTTCCATTATTCTTCCGTCATTTGCTCCAGTGACAGTCCACAAATTCACAGGCATGGAGGAGACCTTTCTTTTGAGGCTACTGCCTCTGCAATAATATGCAAATATGGTAAATAGCATATTTGCATATTATTGCAGAGGCAGTAGCCTCAATATGGTAATCATTTGACTTATTGTTTTAAATAATAATTTATGAATCATAACGTAATCACTATAAAAATAGTAAAACTTTCTAACTTCATAGGTTTGTAATTTTCTTTTTACTTCTCTCAGTACATAATTATTTTTGTAACATGTAATTCTTTATTTAACTTTTAGATATTTAAGTTTTGTACACATTTTAGGAGTAGAATATATATAACTGTGTGTACATTTATGTTTTTATAAGCTGACAGGCTAAAATAATATCTAAAAATGTTTAAATATTTTTTGGCTTCTTTAAATTAAACAAAATATTTTAATTTTTGATTTCAACATGGTGCTAAGTTTTTCACATTTCTATGATAATATTACATTTATATTTTGATTATACTTTATTTATACTAATAAATTATTATTAATTAATTAATTTTTTTAAAATATTTATATTTTTAATAAAGGTAAAATAAAACAATGGACTTTCAGCACAGACCTGGAGGAAAGACTGGTTCAGGAGGAGTAGCATCATGGTCTGATACAAATAGAGACAGGCGAGAACGTCAACGGCAGTTAGCTTTAGAAACTATTGATCTGAACAAAGATCCATATTTTATGAAAAACCATCTTGGTAAGCTTGATTTTATTCATTCAGATTTTTTAAGAACATCTGTTTTATTAACTACAAAAAGAAATATAAATTTCATAATATATATATAAAAGCATTAACAAATGTCATGGCAATTATTAATGCTTATCATATATACATTGTAGTATATCACAACACCACAATAATAAAATGTTTAATATCTAATAAGATATTTTATTGTTGTTATATGAACATAAAATGAAAGAGAGAGTATATCCACAATGAGCCTTAGTTTTAACTTTTTCAGTAAAAGTTTTCCAATAGGCAGAAAATTTTATTTTCTTTATAAGTTGGTATTTATGTATTTTAATACAGTCAAATTTTAAAAAGTGTAACTTGATTGGTTTCTCAAATACATAATAATATAACATTGTATCATATATAGAATTTCTAAGTCTCAGCTATTCTAATGTTCTTGGGACTATAATCTGCTTTATCCAAAGCTCAGGAATTTCCAAGATTATGCAATTTCAGCCATTAATTATTTTTTAAATACATTCCAATGACAATAATAAATATTCTTTGAAAAATTTATCATAAATTTTTAGCCCACTTAAATGTTTTTGTAATTTTAATTTTCATTATGTATATGAGACATTTTAATTTATATTATTATTCATGTGTTTATTTATTTTGTTTTATTTTTGGTTAATAGTTCTCAATATTTATTTTCAAATTTTTTCTTTTCATTTGTTCAAATACAAAGATATACTGAAGATGATCCTTTAAATAGATCGAAAATTTCAGATTTTTAAGTATTATTTGCTGTTTTGACATCGTCATTTAATATTATATAATATATTATTGCTATTTTATTTTGAATTAATGTGTACAAAATAAAAATTTAAGCAGAAAGTAAACAAAGAAAATAGCAAAAATATAAATTTACAATGGTGTATCATTTATGTTACACATTTATGTCATTTGACATTGGTCCCAAAATCTCCATATTCTTTGCAGTTGTGAAATATTAAATTTATACATCTGAATTCCTTTCCTTTCTTATGAAGTTAATAGATATTGCAATATTGTTTTAGAATTTCTAGAACACTTTTTTTGTTTTATTCTCACACTCTTCTCTTCATATTTCTGAAATTAAATGACACCACAACATGTATTGTTTCTCAGAGAAAGATGGGTTAGTTATAGATTATTGAAAAAGGTGTGAATGTAGTGATGCAATGAATATTCAGTTACTATTCAGTATTAGGCCTATTCAGCCTATTTTTTGCTATTCAGCCGAATACCGAATACCTAAAAACAGGAGTAAGAAATAACAAAAACACAGTAAATGAATCATTTTGGTATTTAGATTTAATGTTATCGGGTTAGTGTTGTTTGTTTATATTTATTTATAACTTATAACATGCACAAAATAAAAAAGAAAATAATATTAGTCACATGTATTCACAATTTATAATTACAAAGATCAGCAGATGTACACACCTATTCGTTCGAGAATCGTCACACATCTGAGGTCTGACCCTGCCTATCCTTGTTTTTAAATGCTCTTCCTTTTCTCTTTCCTCTATCAGTCTAGTCCACATATGCATACATCATAATATGCACTCATGATACTTTCAATTCGTCACTTTTCCGTCGTAGATTTCCAATTTTACAATTACGTGACTCAGCCTGGTGACAACAGAGAAAAGAGACAGATAGGACGTAGATATAAGTCACAGTTATGATTTCACAGATTAGAGACAGCTTGGTAGCCCGAAAGGCCCCAGGCTTTCGCCTGTGCACACTAAATGTCTTTCATTACAAGCATTTAGCTTTCTGAAGTCTATGACAACAATTGTTTGGCATTGACGGCTGCGAATTTCGCACCAATAAGCTGCCTCGACTTGTTCGATTATGTTATCAACTCAATTTCATATTTATTTTCACATTTTCACTTCGTGGTCCTTCTCTGTTCTTTTTCCGTTATTTACACGTGTAGGTCATTTCATTGTTATCCACATTTGGTATCATCACTTATCACATACTGCCATGACGCTCATGTCTGTCTACTACAACTGTCAAGAATTAACGCGATTGGCAAAGTGTAGTGACAGCAGGCGAATAGAGAGCAGGGTCCTTACCATAATGCGGTTTGCGTGCCAATTTTCGTATGTGCGTTAATCAAGCCGAATAGTTTGGCCGAATATTCGGTATTCGGTCTGAGGCTGAATATACTATTCGTTGTACAAATGTACAGGTAGCCCTCAGTTTACGCTGCAGTTCCGTTCCCACAAAAGCCGGCACAAATCGNGGAACAAATGTGTAATATAGTAACATTATGCAGGTGTTAAATATCTTTGAAAATTTTTTAAATACTGAATTTTATTTTTATAGGTTACTCAGGACATAATTTTCAGATTTAGCTTTCATCTTAAGCATATAGATTATAATTATGAGAAAAAGCAGAAATACAAAGGTACCAGTATGAGAACAGTTTCAGAGCTTTATAAAATTAGTGCTGAGAAATAAAGCTACTTAATAAAAATTAAACAGCAAATTTTTGCATAAATGATAAGAACAGTTTAAATATAATTAAAATTAGAACTGATGTTTTAGAAAGTTTTTATTTTTTTCTAGAAAAAAATGGACGAAGAACAAGAGGAAGCAGGATCTGCTGAAGAAGAAGCTGTAGAAATGGACGAGAATACCGAGCATGTGGATACGACTTCCAAAACTGGTCGCAGTGTACTGAGTGGGAGAGGTGTTACCTTGAATATGTTGATGAATGATAAGATTTTATGGTCTGGAGAAGGTGTTCTATCTATAGATTATTTGGTAAGTTTATAATGATTTTAAACACTTAAACACATATTTTAAAAATCTTATATTAATCTTATAATATAATCAAGATGGGTTGATAATAATAATAAGTGCAGAGCCCAAACGGTTAGGAGTTGAAAGTTGAGATTTGGTACACAGGGTATGTCATGAGAATGTACACTAAGAAGGAATTTTTCAAAATTTCCCGTCAGGGAAAGGGAGAGGATTAAGTCTTATCCTAAAGAACCCAGCTTCTATTGTACTATTTTAGATACAATTTTTTGCATTTTTGACTGCAATTAAGTAGGGTATCCAATGAGAATGCTCATTAAGAAGGGATTTTTGAAAAATTTTCCCATGGGGAGAGGGTTAAGGATTACCCTGCAGAACTTGGCTTCTACTGTACTATATTAGAATTGGTTTTCTGTGTTTTTGACTGCATTTCAGTTGGGTATGTCATGAGAATGTACATTAATTAATTAAGAAGATTTTTGGAAATTCCACCCCCTGAGGGAAGAGGAGGATAGAGTTAGTTTTAGTCAGTATAAAGTGTAAATAATAAAGAAGGAAAGTAAATAGTGGCTCATATAGTATACATTTTGGAAATTAATAAATATGACATATGCATTTCGGACCATAGTATTGCACTGAAGAGGGACTTAACGCTTATATAAGTCTGAAATGCATATGTTGAAACAATAAAAGAAGTGTCTAACCTGAAAGCTGTAATGATAGTCTACCGAACTTAATGTCGTATTAAAGAGATAACATACATAGAACATAATAACAACTATCCAAAAGTGATATTTAGAAGTTAATTTTCCATTATAATGAAAAGTTCTCTGATTTTTTTAATATTTTTTAGCTTAGTTAAATAAAAAATCTTTTTAAATACTAAGAATTTATTCAGATAAGGTAAAATTCAATAATGACTTTAATCATTTGTTTTTCTATTAGATATCCGATAAATAGAATAGTGAAAATGAAATTTCTTATAAATTTGACCCTAATCTTATAATATAATCGAGATGAGTTAATAATAATAATAACAACAACAACATTAAGTCATTAAATGCAGAGCCCAAATGGTTAGGAGTTGAAAATTGAAATTTAGTACTCAGTTAGGCTACATCATGAGAATGTAGACGAAGAACAGACTTTCCGAAATTCCCCCCACAGAGGAGTGGAGAGGGTAAAGGATTACCCTGAATTTGGATCTTACTGTACTATTTTAACCTGTCCTACGTTGTTCCCGAAAATATTCATGTTGACCTCATTGACCTGCGTGGGTGATCCTGAATATTTTCGTGTTTACATTGGAACGTTTTTGATACTAGATGTCTCTATGCATCACAATTTTTATATTAAAACAAACTTTGAAATATAATTGTTTTTGTTTCTATATTGTTCAATATATTTATTTTGTTTGTGAAACATAAAAAAATAATTTTTTATGATACAGTAAACATGATTATTATTTTAAAAAAAAATTTTTAGGCTTAACATTGATGAAAATTCAACATGGCATTACAGGCAACAAATAAAAATTTCGACATCGAATAGGTTAAGCGAAACAGTTTTTCCCCATATAAATTCATGTAAGATACAATAATGTGTTCCATGCCGAAAAAAATACTCAAATATCTTATGTATAACATTTATTTGAAGACAATTATACGATATACATTGTTAAGGAGCATGAATCATCATCATTTCTTCTAGCATGGAATGAACCAACCTGGAATGTGAATTCAATTTGCAGAAAACAAAAAAATTACAGATAATATGGTCTGATAAACACACTGAATGATATGTCAAATTCTTGGGCTGTGTAAAGGCTATAATTAAGTATTAGAAATTAATTAATTTGACTAGAGGTAGGCAGTTATGCTGTCATCTTGTATTAAATTTAATAATTATAAATAATTAATTTTTAATTTAGACAGTTTAAAATTTAATTTGGAATTAGTCAAATGTCTCTTTTGTCGCATCACTAGTATATCTCAAAGGACGCGATAGGGTTGTAAATTTTAAACGTTTTTCACCATAGCTGTAAAAATCTACATATGTTAAACTTAATTGTTATTTGTTTTCTAACTATTTCGTTTTAGGACCAGGTATCCATGGAAATTTCCAAAATATACTTTTCGGTCACTCTCATTGAACTGGAAAAATTTCTGTCTTTATTACATCTAATATTATGAAGAAATCAATCCACACTGTACTCGGTTAAGCTTTTACTTAAGTAAAATTCTGGCTCTTTCAGCAGGGTTTTATTTGTGTCCCCAATTCCTTAATCGCTTAATTATTTAACTACTACTTAAGTAGAAATTAGTCGAAACCAGTTACTTTGTACTCGAATATTTGTAGTCTTGGGAAAAAAGTGGAAAGACAAATTTTTATGACAACGGATACATAAATCGTAAATTTAAGGAAAATAAATTCTAGAGCTTTTTCTGTACCTTGTGCATCTCTCTCATTCATTAAGTTTAGTTGTAAATGATGCTACCAAAGTAACAGTTAATTTTTTAACATTGTACAAGAATTGTATACATTTTTTCTACATCCCCTTAAAGATGGGATTTACGAAATCATGATTCACTGGTTTAACATTGAAATCCGTGAGTAATATAAAATCGGAGAGCGGACTAAATATATCAAATATTTTAATGGATTTTTTAAAACTCCTGTCAACTATACAGAACTATCATAAAAACATACCAGTAAATTCTTATCGGTTGGGTTAAGTTATAAATCTACTCGTNTTTTAAAAAAAAATTTTTAGGCTTAACATTGATGAAAATTCAACATGGCATTACAGGCAACAAATAAAAATTTCGACATCGAATAGGTTAAGCGAAACAGTTTTTCCCCATATAAATTCATGTAAGATACAATAATGTGTTCCATGCCGAAAAAAATACTCAAATATCTTATGTATAACATTTATTTGAAGACAATTATACGATATACATTGTTAAGGAGCATGAATCATCATCATTTCTTCTAGCATGGAATGAACCAACCTGGAATGTGAATTCAATTTGCAGAAAACAAAAAAATTACAGATAATATGGTCTGATAAACACACTGAATGATATGTCAAATTCTTGGGCTGTGTAAAGGCTATAATTAAGTATTAGAAATTAATTAATTTGACTAGAGGTAGGCAGTTATGCTGTCATCTTGTATTAAATTTAATAATTATAAATAATTAATTTTTAATTTAGACAGTTTAAAATTTAATTTGGAATTAGTCAAATGTCTCTTTTGTCGCATCACTAGTATATCTCAAAGGACGCGATAGGGTTGTAAATTTTAAACGTTTTTCACCATAGCTGTAAAAATCTACATATGTTAAACTTAATTGTTATTTGTTTTCTAACTATTTCGTTTTAGGACCAGGTATCCATGGAAATTTCCAAAATATACTTTTCGGTCACTCTCATTGAACTGGAAAAATTTCTGTCTTTATTACATCTAATATTATGAAGAAATCAATCCACACTGTACTCGGTTAAGCTTTTACTTAAGTAAAATTCTGGCTCTTTCAGCAGGGTTTTATTTGTGTCCCCAATTCCTTAATCGCTTAATTATTTAACTACTACTGAAGTAGAAATTAGTCGAAACCAGTTACTTTGTACTCGAATATTTGTAGTCTTGGGAAAAAAGTGGAAAGACAAATTTTTATGACAACGGATACATAAATCGTAAATTTAAGGAAAATAAATTCTAGAGCTTTTTCTGTACCTTGTGCATCTCTCTCATTCATTAAGTTTAGTTGTAAATGATGCTACCAAAGTAACAGTTAATTTTTTAACATTGTACAAGAATTGTATACATTTTTTCTACATCCCCTTAAAGATGGGATTTACGAAATCATGATTCACTGGTTTAACATTGAAATCCGTGAGTAATATAAAATCGGAGAGCGGACTAAATATATCAAATATTTTAATGGATTTTTTAAAACTCCTGTCAACTATACAGAACTATCATAAAAACATACCAGTAAATTCTTATCGGTTGGGTTAAGTTATAAACCTACTCATGATTCGCGTAATCGGGCAAGGGCAGCCAAATACCTAGTGGGCAGGCAGCTAACAGCCCAGAACCGGTCCCAGATAGAATTGGATGCGGTATATGTGTAGCATCCACCTGAGGTCCTAGGCTTCCACTGGCTAAACCGGGTGAGGTTGGTGCTCTGTAAAGCACATTCGTGAATCTGGCTTTTTGGATACTGACAATACAGCACTTCCACTCTGCCACTAATATTCAAATATACAATAGCAATCTTATTTTTTTTTTCACGTGTAGTATAGAAATTTGTAATAAAATACATAATGTGGTTATAATAAAATATTGTGTGATTATTTTCATATAATTAAAATTAATATGTATTTATTTTTTTGAAAACACAAGGGAAGTGGCGCTTCCACTGCTTCCAATGACAGCACGCCACTAGCTGTTTCCATGATAATTATTGATTTCGAGTATCCTAAATATTTTTCTTCCTGTATCAAACTTGTGCACTAGTGTTTTTGGAAAAGTCTAGAAAAATTATGCATGAGCCAACTGGTTTTATGTAGCATCATTATGTTGTCTTGATCATTCTCTGTTTCCAGAATGTTTATGTTGAAAGTAGATAATGATGATGGTAAAGAAAGAAGCGCTGAACTTGCAACAATGTGCTAAACATGCTGGATAATCAGATTTGCTGGCATACCAGATGCCAGGTTAATGGAATTTCACTGTATTCTGTAACAACAAAAGTAAAGGATACTATACTATCCATCAGCAATGACATATGAGCCTTAACTAGGTGAACATAATTATTAAATTTATTGCTATTAAATAGGTATGTGAATTATGTAATCTTGATTAATGATTGCCGCATCTTCAAAAAAGTATTTGCTTTTTTGTAATAAAAAAAAATAAACAGTGAAAAATTTGTTAAAACCTGTATACTATAATACTGTGATAAAAAACTGTTAGTTCAGCTGTCTTGTGGTGCATTTTCAATTAAATTTTGACTTTATGACTTTTCAGTTACACATGTTTTTTTGTCTGATTCCTAAAGAGACATATAAATGATGATTTACTGCATTATTAATTATTTATAACAGAAAATACATAAAAATTAATGTACAAAGTAACGTCAAAAATAAACGGAAATTGCAATAGCAGTTGAAAACAATAACAATTACTTGATTATCTCATCTGCTACAATTGAAATCTTGACATATATGTTTTGACAAGCTGTACTGTACTTAATGCAACTTGTTGAAACATGTTTTCTTTATATTAGATAGTATTCTCATATAAAGATAGGTTTACCTTCATATGAGAATACTATGTCAATGAAAATAGTAGATCAGATGGCTACTTCCAAAATTTGAAACATTAAAATTGGAACAAGATATAAACATTTAATTTTACTTAAAATAACTTGTAGTGTAATTTTAAAAATATTAAGAATTGTCTATAGTGAAGACACTATGTTGAAGATTTGAATGTATGAATAGTACAAGAGATTCATATAGAAGGTGTAGAAGGTTTGGATGTTGATTCAATCTAAGTAATGATGCAATGTAGTGGAGAAGTAATTGCTAGGATGCAGGTGAATATTAGATGAGATCATTGCAATTAATAGATAATCTGGTCCATAATAAATGTGTTTGAGGATTTGTACACAGGATTCTCCATGACAATTTCAACATTCATTACACAACATTACGTGTTTATGCATTAAGCTTTTCATATCAAATACTACCTGGCCAAAAATGGGATTTTTGTACTTCCACAGCTGCTCTACTCTCTTCATCTGGGTTCCAATGGGCTTTTTATCTCTTTCCAAGGTTTTGCATTATCACTATTCAGTAAAACTGCATTTGTCATAAACTACAAAAACAACCACTCATATCTTTAAATGCATGTCAATTTTATCTTTTCTAATGCTTTTGGTTGTTTTAAACACCCTTCCTCAG